GATTATATGTTCACAGAATTTTAAGGCAAACCTGTGTTTAGTTTGCTTAGAGTCACTGTCTGCCATGAAGGATTATAATATAAATCACCACTACAACATGTTGCACAAAGCTAAATATGAAAAGTTTACCGGTATACACAAGTATACAATCTGCAGCAACGTTTTACCAGAACCATGCKGGAGTCTGAACTCAAGGGGTCCTGTCGCTGCACTTCACATCGCTAACGTAAGTGTTTATGGATTCATATTTCTTAAATAAGAGAACTGTTCGACGTGCATTTGAGCACAAGCTGCACTGTATGTTGGTTTAATCAACATATACACAAACATTTTTAAAATGTCAGTTTTKTTACATTTGGGTAAGTGTGCAGCGATACGCGGTCGTGTCCATCCCTGCTGTAAGAACTAACAGTCAATCTGTGAACCTGCACTGATTTTCCAGTTTGTCTGAGTTGCAGTAAAACTGTAGCAGCTAAAGTCTGAGGTGCCGCAGGCCCACTCTGAGAACCGATCCGAGGGCTCTGTCTGAGCTGTCCTGCCCGCAGCGAGTCCAGAACGAGCCGCCCAGCGCTCCCCCCCTGACACAGATGAAGCACTTAACRCCCCCTGTCCGCTGCCCCAGCAGGCCGAGGGTGCATTAATGAGCTCCCTGTCCACTCCAGAGTGATCTATTACTTCCTGTAATTATAAATAATAATCTTGATTATTACGCTGGTTAGCCAGCGAGAGGCATAGACGGATGTGCCTGCGATATGATTCATCATATTTTTCTCTCTCAYCCACGAGCAGTCGCCACAGACGGCAGCAGGTTTCCATCGGCTGCACGCTGACAGGCTCATATTAGAGAGAKCGGGTCTGAACCGGGCTCTGCTGGAGGACTCTGATTAACAGGACATACAGAGAGACATCAGGTCCAARTTTACTTCGAATCTTTATAGTCAACAAAGAAGGTTTGATGATTTAAAGTTTCAGTTCTGACACTTTAAACTCGGTACAAAAGCAGGAAGGTTCTGATGAAACAGACTGATGTGGACCGGAAAGTTAAAACCTGAGCAAAGAGACTGATTGAAAACTGAACCTGCAGTCCTTGTCCGTCCACCGTGACCGAGTTGGCTCTCTGCATCTTCCCTCGACTGGACTGGCTCGACCGCGAGTCTTTCCTCAGAGTCGACTGTCGTTCCTGAGGTCCACGGAAATAACATGAAAAAAGCGACAGACATTTGGTGCAAAAAGCAAAAAACAAATTAAATTTATGCAGACTTGATACATCATTAGGGAGCACGAAGTCTGCTGTGAGGCTCAAACTACACAGCTGTGGTGATTATAGTGTGATAGGGCTATTCAACTGGTGGCCTGCAGGCCACATCCGGCCTGTGAGTGACCAAAGTTCGGCCCGCTAATTGGTTCATTCACCTCTTAATCCCACTACATTACTGTAAGTTCTTTTAGGTAGATATAGACATGTTTGGCATCTACAAAAACATCAGAATCTTGGCTAGAAGCTGGTAAAAACCATTTCTAGGAACATCCAAGACAGTTCAAACTACAAGCAGCTGAATTTAAAACTATGAAAGTGAAAATAAAATTGTTTTAAAAAGAACGTTATATTTGTTTTTGTATCGTTTTATGATCACTTCTTTTATTAAATAGGGTTCTGTGTGTAGTGTTCATGATTAAATGCAGCAAAATAAACTATTTCAAAGGTAACAGATCATTGTACTACTTGGTTTATTTACATAGTGACTAATTTCTTGATGTTTGGACCCTGAGCTGTTGGCCTGCAGTAACTTTGACCCCCCAGAGCAACTTAGTTGAATAACCCTGTAGTATGATATATATGAGCTCAAAAACTGCAGAAATCACAAAACAACAGTTCATTGTTGGGATTATTTAAAGTTAAAAACAATAAACTGATAAAACTACTTCTCCACTGCATATTTTATAATCATCAATCCAATAAAAATCTATTTTGTGTGCTTAAATCAGAGCAAATGAATAAAATTAGTGACTTTCAGCGTGTTTACGCTGCAGTTCGGTTCCTGTTTGACAAACTTTCCTCCCAAAACGAAAGAAGCTGCTCTCCCATGCTTCCCATTAGGTCAGCACACCTTTCCCTTTTCAAACACACCTTCTTCAGTTTTGGAAATAAACTTCTGAAAAAGAAATTGCTGCCATTTCAGAGCTCAGTAGGAGAACACAGGCTGATGATTGAGTCCTCAGGTAGAAAACAAAGTCAGGTTCACTCGGGGTTTTAGGACTGCTGACCAGCYAAGAGCGAAGCCTTACCAGGACGATCGGGCAGATGGAGTTGGGGGGCAGGATGTGATCCTTCAGGGGTCCACAGTCACACTCAGGTTTCATATGGGAGGCACACTTGTTATGGAGCTGGAGGAGGTGGCAGTTATTATTAACAACCAACTAGTGCAGATAAAAAAAATAAACATTTCAGGGATATTTTCAGGAGGTATTTGCAACGCGCATGTCATTGCCTCTGTTTTATTTTCTATTATCTTGCAACTGCAAACAAGTGTTTTCTGAGTGTAAATTGGCGCGATGACTTGTGAGTTCTCCGAGGTGCAAAAAGCAAAACCTTAAACAACAAGAAGCAGTGGGAATATAATGAGAAGGTGGCTGCCTCTCGGCGGGGGTGGGAACTTACCGTGATTTGACACCACACACAGTGGAGCCCAGTCAGGCCCTGGTAACACTTAATGGTTTTGTGACACTTGTCACACTTGGTGGGGCAGTTCCCTTCCACCCAGAAATGATGCATTACCTGCGGAGAGGAGGAGAGACGGCACGCTGGGAGGAAAAGCAGCGAGAAAAGGAAAAAAAAAAAACGCGGTGCGGAAAAACAAGAGGCACACGAAGGCACAAGTGACACAACAATTAAAGCAAGAAAGGAGAGACAACAAAAAAAGGAAGAAAAGAGGCCCAACAAATGATGCTGTCTGCGTCAGAGCCTGCAAACCGGCCTGATCCTGGTGATTAACRACACTTAGTGCAAGTCTGAGTTCATTCTGCTTTATTAGAACAAAGCTCTGCAAACCTCATCATCACGTTTCTGTCACTTTAACCTCACTTAAAGGTTGAAATAAAAAAAAAAAGAATAACCCAACTCTGCATTGGATTGAAAATAAATAATATGTTTAAAATCTAGTTTCCTGCTTTTGAAATTAAGGAATAAATTTACACTCAAAAATGGACATGTTTGATTTCCTTCACCAACTGATTCCACTCAACTGAACTGAGTGAATGTAAATCAATTTTTACATGAACTTAAACAGTAAATGTGAAGTAAATAAAACATTATAGTTACTCTAAAACAT